ATTTCTTTGACAGCAGTCTTGAAAAATCTGTCATCTTATTCAGCCATACACATATATGTGTAGGAGTAAGCTGTCTTCCATAGAGCCTTCTATAATACGCAAAGTCCTATAACAAGCAACTTGCAGAGTCTTTTACATTCATCTAAAACAAGGAGACAGAACAGCCCAGTGTGGAAGAGCCAGGGTGTGGAGACAGATTGCCTGGGTTTCTACTGAGGCTCCAACTTCCTGTGCACATGACCTTAGGCAAGTCACAAAACCCCTCTGCCCTTCTTTCCTAATGTATACAAGAGGAACGGTGATAATACCTATCTCAGAGGATGTGTGTGAAAATTCAATGAGTACATATAAAATACTTAGGAAAGTGCCTACCACATAGCAGAGAATTAAAGTCATTATTATCTTAAGTTAGGTAATACAACTGATTTTCTGCTATTAAAATTTAGACTCTATTTTAAAGAACACATAAAATTATTTCAGAAAAAGAAAAGTAAAACCAAAGAATAATATTTTTAGGCATATGCTTCGGCGTCTCATGGCAACTCTCCAACACCAAAACCGCACCCGGAGGCAGAGTGTGCTCATACACTGACCTTAGGAGGTTCACAAGCAGGTTCACAGCTTACCCTATCACAAGAAACAGTATTCGTACATCCATATGCAGGTAACTTCAGCAGCCTCACGGTTATGGACATGGAATGGACCCTTAATAATTACCGCTTATTGGAATAAATGAATCAACTGTGCATTTTATTATACTAGGCAATTTTGATACCAGAGATCTTTTAAGTGTAGAATTTTCTTTCCTAAAATATACAGGGAAAGATGTGTCTGTGTGTCCTCCAACTATATAGCAGCTATAATACACAATCATCTCCAGGGAGATACTTTGCAACTGTTTGTATGATCTGACCTAATTAATTTCAAAATGAAAGGAAACACATTATAGTACCTGCACCAATTAAACAACTGATTAACTGAACAGTACGAACCTCATGGAGGTTCACACATAGAGGACTGTATTTTTTTCTCAATCCCCTGACCTCAGCAGCACTATACCAACTCCGTTCTTAGCTGGAATGGATTCCTGAAAAATACCTGGAACAGATCCCAGAATTGTCAGGTCCCTCTCAGCTATTAAAAATCCACCCAGCTTAAAATGCCAATCAAATGCCTGAAGCAGGGCCTTCCCCAGGGCATCTCCTGGCTACGGGGTCCAAAGAAATAAAACAATGCCAAAACCAAGAGTGCAGGCCAACCCAAGTCTCTTTGTGTCTGTTGCCAACTTCCTCCAATTTTCTTTTTGCCGGCTCACGTGGGTGTAGGACACAGCAATAAGAACATGCCTAAAATATTTCTTGCTTCTCACCAAGAAGACACTTCTTGCAAGCAACAGCCCCTATACTTTTGGGAGGTCTACTATTCAGCTCTCCCCTTGTGTCAGCTTGTAGGAATAGAGGTGGGGTAGGGGGAGAAGTTAGTTCCTGGGCTGGTTGCTGGCCCTTCCCTTCACGAGTTCTAAAGCTTCTGTAAAAAACAGGAGAAGCAATAGTGGAGGCAAAACTCACTGCCCATGGTTATTCCTGTCTTTTTCTATCTGTTCCTGCTAACACTACAAAAGACTGACTGACCTTGTCAGGGGATGCCAAGGGCAGGGATGATATACAAATTATTTAAGAGGCAGGGATGCAAACTGATCAGAAGGGATGTGGTCCAGGGCCTGGAACAGGTCCTGCAGACCCCTCGCAGTGTCCTCCAGTTGCTGGAAGGATCAGGGGAGCCCAGGGATGCTGGGGAAATTGCAGCATGGGTGCTAGGGGGTTTGGGTCCTTTTACTGACGATGGGAAGTGCTTGGTAATGTTAGTACCAGGACAGCTGTACTGGTGGAAACTGACTGAACATCGTTCCTACCTGTGGGAGCTCTTCAGTGTCCTGAGTGAAGCTGTCTCTAAGTGCGTATTTCCTAATGAGAGAGGCTGCCCCAGGCCTGCTCTCTGCAACCCGTCCCCCCCATGACTGTCCCACGGCCTCTTGCCTGATCACACTGAACTATTTTCTATTTGGTCACATGACCTGTGGAAACTCATGCATTTTTACAATGCCAAAACAGAGAGTACAGCAGGGTATTCCAAACCTCTCCTTGCTGCCAACTTCCTCCAGCTCTTTTCTCACCTGGTCAGATAGGTGAAGGGCACAGCAATAAGTCTATGTCTAAAACACTTCTAGCTTCTCACCAAAGAATGAGAAGACACCTCTTACAGATACACCCCAATTGGGAACAAATTTTCTCTTGGAGCTGCCTTCACTTTGTTTGACAGGGAGCAGGGATGAAGAGTGAAAAGCAATTCCTTCCTTCTCTCTTCAGGACAGGGAGGAAAATCAAAATATTCCAGATGACTGGATAGTTTTTGATAGCCACCTGCGCACTGACGACTTACGGGCTGGGATAGGAATGAGAGAACCCCTGGAGGGGTACATGGGATAGCAGCTGGATTGGACCATCTCTTTAGAAATCCCAAGAGAAGGATCTGGCCCAAATTGAAGATGGATTCCTGGTAGATTTCCTTTTGAAATGCATAAATTTAAAGCTGTTCTTTCATAGTTCAGACAGTAGCACCAATTCTGGGCAAGAGGAAAAATCTTCCTCTGTATCCTGTTATACTTATTTGAAGAGGCACCCGAAATAATTAAATATTATATGCAGTTTAAGAAAAATGAATATCAAATATACATGGTATAAAAAAATTGAGGAAGCATATTTCTATTGGTGATTATTTGGAGATGCTGATTAATCCATTGTGCATATATTTATGTTTAATTAGAAACTGGGTAGGATTTAGAATGTTATTCTAAAACACAGTCTATTAGCATTATGGCATCATATTCATGTGGTGCAAATAATAATGTGAGAGGATTTTCTTGGTAAACTATTTTTTAGCGACCCTGTTTTATCAAAAGCATATATTTTTACTCGGATGTTATAAGAAACTAAGTCTGAGTATAAGCTGATTTGCTATAATTGGAATAGGCTTATTGCAGTCATTTTACCCCTTTAAAATTATGATACCAGCATTCAAACATCTGTTAAACCATAGCATCTGTTTCATATTTGGGATGCATCCCTACAAATTAGAAGAATGTTCTTTTTAATGAGCTCTGATTTAATAGGGAATCCTTTTTTTTATATAACTGTTATGTGAAAGAAAGAAAATGAGAAGACAAAAATCATCTCTTGCACCCTCCATACTAAAGTACCTCAAAGGTCCATACATTTCAAATATAAAACTCTTTCATGAAGATATATGCATATGAAAGTGCACATGCGTGTGCACACACATACACACACCAGGAAATGCAGAGAGGGCCACACATTCTTACTATTCAAGAAAAATAATCACTTCTTTCAAAAACATTGTCTTGCCAATCTATAGGGTCTTAAAAATACCAGATAAATTCATACCTCGTAGTGCCTCTGTTTACTAAGATTTGTTTGCTCTAACTCCAAAGGCATACGTGTGTTGCCAGGTCATTATCATTTCAGTTCTATCTGAAGTAGTACTTGCCACTGACTCACTCAGTTCTTTTTAAACTATTCCCTGTGGTCTCTGGAAGTTTTCTAGTCATTTGGAGACCTCTATCTGCATCTGATTTTGTCCTATAAGAAGCATGTCAGCTTAATGTCAGACAACAAAGGGTTCATGTGTCCCACTGTTAATATACTTCTTTACTCTCTTAGGCCATTGGCTTTTGTGTTTTTCTATTTCTAATGTGGAGATGGGTAGACATTAAAAGCTTAATTTAAACATGTTTAGAACTCCTAGATTTTTTTTTTTTAATTTTTTTTTTTCTTTCAACGTTTATTTATTTTTGGGACAGAGAGAGACAGAGCATGAACGGGGGAGGGGCAGAGAGAGATGGAGACACAGAATCGGAAACAGGCTCCAGGCTCCGAGCCATCAGCCCAGAGCCTGATGTGGGGCTCGAACTCACAGACCGCGAGATCGTGACCTGGCTGAAGTCGGACGCTTAACCGACTGCGCCACCCAGGCGCCCCTAGAACTCCTAGATTTTAATGATATAAGCTACCATAAAATTTAGAAGATAGGCTGCCCCATTAAATTTAACAAACTACAAAGGATTTATAAAAAGAAGGTATCACTCACATAAAATGAAAAAAAAAAAAAAAAAAAAAAAAAAAACAATTCAGAAGGAACTCATTGGAAGGAAGCCAGAAAAATGAGAGAAAAGAAAAAGTTTAATGTAAGAGATTTCTGGTCACCCATCTTGTCCCTCCTAATTTGTCTCACCAAAAGAGAAAACGGCTACTGCAGTGTTCCAGCACTGACGACATTTCTTTCACAAAAGAAAGGCAGAGCGGTCACAGGTAGGCGGACGCAAGCCTGGTAGGTGCCCACCCCAGCAACAACTGCTTCTGGCACCTTTCTTGCCAACCCATCCCCCACCAAGCGAGGGTTCTGGCCCTCACAGATTTACGAAAGCACATTTACCAAAGGAACAGCAGCATTTTATGTCCATGTCACAACAAATGTACAGCCGATAGGTGTTACAAAACCAGATTTGGAGTCATTTGAGTTCTTCACTAAAAAAACACCCCCAAATTAAAACATCAATGACCTAGTTTAAAAGTAGTGTCTTCTAGGAATTTATAGACACTATAAGAGAATCAGAGAAGAGAAAAATGACCCAGGCCATTCTTCTGGGTTTAGGCTAGACTTACATCACCAGTCTGAGACAAAAACTGACCTTATTTGACAATACTAACCTGTGGAAAAAGATTGTATCATTTTCTTGAGTACCCTTTTCCAATGCTTAATGACTTTTAGTAGCAAAACTCCTTTTTTACCCTCTCATGGTTGAAAATGAGATATAACAACACACTTTATGGTCACAGGGGATAGGGTACAGTTTAAAGAACATTGTTATTATGAACTTTTTCCACCTCTGCAGATCTTATCTCCACATACTCTTAGAAACTTGCCTCTGCCAGTTGAAAGAGTGCAGATTTTCCATAGCGTTTCACAGGTTCCGCACCACCCAGCTGCGAAGTGTTTGAAGAAATCTGTATTGAAAATAATTCACATAAAGGATATTAATTGTGTCATCAGAATCTTTGCTTCTCATTCATACACATTCAGGAACGTTCTTTAGTTTACGAGAACATCATTGTTCCCAAGTAGCAAGTAACTTTAAAGATGTCATACTTGGGATTATAATTTTGAAACCAACTTTGGTGAACAACCTCAAAAACAGTAACAAAAACCAGGTGTGGCTTGGACAGCTGTTTAATGACAGAAGTATTGTCTTGTACACTCCAGGCTTTAAACTCTACCACTTAAAACAAGATTTGCATTTCCATTTCCATATAAACACCAACTCATCAACTGACCAAATATGAGGGATTTAGAGTCATTTTGTATTCACCGAAGTGACTAATTTTTTAAAGGAATATATTTAGGATCTCTAAAATTATTTGGGAAAGATAGCATCATTAGTCAACAAATTTTTTTTATATAATTATTTTTAATGTTTGTTTATTTTTGAGAGAGAGAGAGAGAGAGAGAGAGAGCGAGCGCAGAGTGGGGGAAGAGCAGAAACAGAGAGGGAAACAGAATCTGAAACAGGTTCCAGGCTCTGAGCTGCCAGCACAGAACCTGACGCAGGGCTCGAACTCGGGAATGGCGAGATCATGACCTGAGCTGGAGTCGGATACTTAACCGACTGAGCCACCCAGGTGTCCCTCAACAAATATTTTTTTTTTTTTAACGTTTTTATTTATTTTTTTGGGACAGAGAGAGACCGAGCATGAACGGGGGAGGGGCAGAGAGAGAGGGAGACACAGAATCAGAAACAGGCTCCAGGCTCTGAGCCATCAGCCCAGAGCCCGACGCGGGGCTCGAACTCACAGACCGCGAGATCGTGACCTGGCTGAAGTCGGACGCTTAACCGACTGCGCCACCCAGGCGCCCCTCAACAAATATTTTTTTAAGAATCCAATATAAATGTCGTAGGCAATACGATAGGAACTGGGGAAGCCAAGAATTTTACAGAAAACACTAGCCCTGGCTTTGAGAGGATACTCTAAAGTACACACAAAGATTGAAAATCAAGACCACAATTCTAAATAAGTTATGCAGTTAAGGCCTATGCTGAGGCACAACATATCCAACATTATATCAACTGCATGTTCTTCTGCAAATTTGGCCAAACAGTGGCCAGGCACTGGTAACAACGAACTGCAATGTCCTTTCTCATTTTTATATGAAAACTTCATTTTCAACTTCTAGCCTAACTCAGTAAAAAAAAAAAAGGCTGAGAACATACATTCTTAAGGAACTTTACAAATATTCTTCTTCCTGGAGAAGTTCTGTCATTACAGCAGCTAGCTATGGCTTAAGCATTTCATATTCCTCATGATTCTGAATTCTTTCTCAGTTTAAGATAGAAGTATTTCTCAGTTCAGTTTAGCAGGCACTCCTGCCTGCTGAGTGTATCCTCACAGGTGACCCCAAGTCCCACAGGGGATTCTGTGGAGCCATCAGCTCTGGGAGAGACTGGGAGCTTGCTGCTGAATGGAATTCTTCCTAGAATACCAGCTGAACGAGAGGCTTTTGTCGAGGAAAATGTTTAACAAGCTACCTGGGCCATTTAGAAGAATTTAGTTTATGGAAATTTTAGGCACTTTTTCTTCCTAGGTACTATCATTTTTAACAGTTCTTTCCAATTTATCCCAACTAAATTTTTATGTTTTATTTATTTTTGAGAGAGCACATACAAGTGTTGGAGAGGGGGACAGAGGGGGACAGAGGATCCGAAGTGGGCTCTGCACTGACAGCAGAAAGCCTGATGTGAGGCTCGAACTCACAAACCAAAACTGTGAGATCATGACCTCAACCAATTGACTGAGCTACCCAGGCACCGCCAAACCACTTTTCTTTTTAAAGAAAATTAACTAAATGGGGCTCAATCTTTCTAAGTCTGGAATATTTTCTTCTACCTAATTTTTCTCTGATATACGCCACTTCTACTTTTTCTAGACAAGATGAATTTAATAAATCACCTTATCACTGAACTATGAGAAATGGACACATAATCACCACCTCCCAATTACTTGAGGGAATGAAGTACCAAACATACAGAATTGCCAGTGTCTCGAACCCAGGCTGTATAAAAGAAAGAACATGACTTTTGTGTCAGACACACCTTCATTACTTTTTGCTCTGTCAACTTAAGCAAATTGAGTCTCATCTACCTCATCTTCAAAACAGAAACAATAATACCTGCCCCATATTATTGTTGTCAAGATTAGATGTTATGTCAGTGAAGAGTCTGGCACAGTGCTGAGCCCATATTGTGTTCTCAATAAGTGGTACAATGATTATCAACAAGAATTTATCAACAGTAACTTGAATAAACATAAAGCTCTCTTAGTATAGTCCAAAAATTAGTTACACACTAAAATTGCAATGTTAAAGGATAATCATGAAATTTAGTAATTCGTAGAATATTAAATTTATCACATAATCACATGACACTCTTAAGAATCACTCGGGGCGCCTGGGTGGCGCAGTCGGTTGGGCGGCCGACTTCAGCCAGGTCACGATCTCGCGGTCCGTGAGTTCGAGCCCCGCGTCGGGCTCTGGGCTGATGGCTCGGAGCCTGGAGCCTGTTTCCGATTCTGTGTCTCCCTCTCTCTCTGCCCCTCCCCCGTTCATGCTCTGTCTCTCTCTGTCCCAAAAATAAATTAAAAAAAAACGTTGAAAAAGAAAAAAAGAAAAAAAAAAAAAAAAAAAAAAAAAAAAAAAAAAAAAAAAAAAAGAATCACTAGAGGACAGGCTGGGTAATCCCACACCACACAGCCACAACGCGGAGTGGTTCTAGTTCTTACACTGACTCCCTCTGCTGTTCCTTTTGTTGTAGGTTTATGCTCCTCGACACTAAGTATTTGTTCACTACCACACACTCTGTGCGTGGAAGACTGCGGGGCTCAATGAAGAACTTTGGACTGTGTGGATGCATTATCTGCCATTTGAGATAATGCACAGTTGTCTAAGTAGAGAACTGAGAATGGTTCTTTACCTTTCAAAAGGAACTACTACTTATGTCTAGTAAGAACTAGTTCCCTCATCACCCATGGGAGGACTTTGACCTATCTGTAGGTATAAGAAAGATTTCCAAAGGAGCTTGTGTGGGGGGAGGGTCAATGTACTTTAGCAGCCCAACATTTCTTTTGTTAATTTTTTTTAATGTTTATTCATTTGTGAGAGACAGAGAGTGAGTGAGGGAGGGGCAGAGAGAGAGAGAGAAGGAGACACAGAATCCAAA